ATCTATGGCCAATAGGCCTGTGATCTCGTTTTCTTGTTGAATCCAGGCAGGATTCAGGTACCACAGACATGGAAGGTTGTGGATATGTGTCTCCTTCTGGCAACAGTTGTATAGGATGAAAGTTGAGAGGAATGTTCCTTGATGCATCAGGCTTGGAGTGTTTCTAATAGGGAGGTTTTACACTCAGATTGGTTGTTTCCTGCATTAGTATATTTTTTATCATCTATTTGTATTTTCTGAGGAATTTGGCTATTTTGTCTGAATTTCAAGTTTATTGCCAGTATAAAACACAGCTCTCACCTCACAGGGACAAGAGATAGTTTATTCTGGAGCCAAATATGAGTGACCATGGACTGGGCTATAGATTTAGGCTAACTTAAACTCCACGACTAGTTACAAGACAAAGAAAATCCTAAATTGAGGTGTTTGTAAAAGACATTGGTTGAGCCATGGGCAGGCAGGTGACAGCAAAGCAGAGAAAACTCTGCTACAGTTTCACATGACACCTGGTGGTATTTTTAGATTTGGGTTGGTGGAAGCCAGTGGCCTGCTAAGAACACATTTTAGAGTTCTGATAATCACAAGAATGTTAGGTCAGGTACGTGTGAGCAACAAACGGCATTCCAAGAACTAAAAATAGCCCAAGATAATCAAGCTCTAGTCTGAAATTTTTTAACTCTAATTTCAGTGTAAGGCCTTGTAGACTCTTTAACATAGGTACAGTCTCCTCTCTCTCTCTCTCTCTCTCTCTCTCTCTCTTTCTCTCTCTCTGCTTTCTGGGAACTTTAATGCACACCTCTTAGTTTTTAAATATCTAAGGAATTTTCCTGCCTTGTTACTTTTTATGCCTTTCATCTTTTTAAAAAAGATTTTATTTTTTATGATAATAGTTTTTATTTAAATTTGAAACAGGCTTGTTTTACATGTCAATCCCAGTTCCCTCACCCTCTCCCGTCTCCCCCTTCTGTTCCCCCCCACACACACACCATACCCTTTCTGCTCCCCAGGGAGAATGAGGTCTTCCTTTGGGGATCTTTAAAGTCTGTCATTTCATTTGCAGGAGGGCCTAGGCCCTGTCTCCATATGTCTAGGCTGAGGGAGTATCCCTCTATGTGGAATGGCCTCCCAAAGTCCATTTATACACTAGGAATAAATACTGATCCACTACCAGAGGCCCCATAGACTGCCCAGTCCTCATAACTGACACCCACATTCAGGGGGGGCTGGTTCTATCCTATGCTGGTTTTCCCAGCTATCAGACTGGAGTCCATGAGCTCCTCCTTGTTCAGGTCAGCTGTTCCATGATTTTATTTTTAATTATACCTGTTGGCTGGCATGTACTCATGAATGCAGGTTCCAGTAGAGGCCAGAAGAGTTGAACTATCAGGCAGTCGTGGGCCACCTGACATGGGTGCTGGGAGCCAAACTTAGGTTCCCTTGAAGAGCAGTGTGTGCTCTTAGCCGCTGAGCTGCCTCTGTATCCACTTCCTTTTTTTTTTTTTTTTTTTTTTTTTTGTTCCAGGGAGTTAGCTAGAGTCCTCAAAACTTCTGAAACTGCTTCTTGATGCCAGCAGCCTTAGTGACCTTGAGCACATTGAAGCACACGTTCTTGCTCAGGAGCCTGCACTCTCCCACAGTGACAGTGTCCCTAATCTGTACGTCCCTGAAATGGGGACAGGTGCATAGACATGTTTTTGTGGTGCTTCTCAAAGCGGTGGTACTTTCAGATGTGATGGAGATAGTCCCCACAGATGACAATGGTCCTTGGCATCTTCATCTTGGTCACAAATCAGACAGGACCCGACCTTGGATGGAGACGTTACCAGTGAAGGGACACTTCTTGCCTATGTAGGTCCCCTTGATGGCATCCTTGGGGGTCTTGAAGCCTAGACTGATGTTTTTGTAGTACCGAGCAAGTTTTTCATTGCTGGTTTCTCCCAGCAGAACACGCTTCTTGTTTTGAAAGATTGTAGGATGCTTTTGGTAAGCACATTCGGTCTGAATAGCCGCCATCTTCCCAGCAGCCTGAGAAAAAAGAGAGCCATTTCCCATCTTTTTAAGTAATATTACCGTGAGCTATTAATTTTACTAGTCTTAAGCCTTTGACTTAGTCAACCTGATTTATTGTATTGAAAATACTTCATTAATGTCTGTCCCCTTTTCTCTAATAGTTTCTTTGAGATGTGCTCTTTTCAGCTTGTTGAGATATGTGCTTAAATCATTGGTTTTGTTTGGTGTTGGTTTCTTATAAATCCTACCTGTCCTGGAACTCCTATAGCCAAGGATGCATTTCAACTCCATATAGGCAATTCCAACTCCCCAGCTTTGAACAATGTTTTTAGCCTTTTCCAAGCTGGGAATTTCTTTCTTTAATGACTCATTTATTTTTATTTTATGTGTATTGTGTTCTGCCTGCATTGTGTGTCTGTGTGAGAGTGTCAAGTTCCCTGGAGCTGGAGTTACAGACAATTGTGAGCTGCCATATGGATGCTAGGAACTGAACTTGGGTCCTTTGGAAGAGCAGCCAGTGGTCTTAACCACTGAGCCATCTCTCCAGCCCTGGGAATTTCTTTACAGGCACAGCTTTATCACACCAATTTTGAAATTTGGTGCTTTAGTTGTTTTTGATTAGACAGATAAAGGATTTTATATCTTGGGTTTCTTTCCTGACCCACAGATTATTTAGAATAACATCTGCTAATCAACACATATTCAGTAGTTTTCTGTTATTTTTATACTGATTTATAACTTAATTGCTCTGTGGTCAGAGAATTTTTATGACTTTCAAACCCATTGGAATAAGCCTAGAGTTTCTTTAGGATCAACTTCAATGACTATTCTAGAATAATATTGAGTATGTCAGTATTGAGCAAAGTGTGAGGTTCTGCTGGTCATATCTGTTCCCACTGGCCTCTTTGTTCATTCTATCACTACTGAAAGCCAAGCATTTGGTTTCTTCTTGTTTGATAACCTCTGCTCCTTGCAATTGGAGGTTTTATTATTTGACTGACTTTATGGACTTGCTCTCCTTGTACTCTTTCTTTTGCACCCCTGTCCCCTATTCTGATCTCCATTTTTATAGAGGATTTTTGCCAGCTCTGGTCAACCATTGTCTAAATGGAGTCTATTGATCTACATCTTTTCGTGTCCAAGTGATGTATATTGTTCCCATGTTTTGCCTTTTCATTTTCTTAATAAAGCAGAACATTTTAATTTTGTGTATGCTATGTATGCTTGTATGCACACTCATGTGCACAAATACATGTGTGAAGGCAAGAGTTCAACCTTGGGTACCATTGCTCAGGAGACATCTACCTTGTTTTGAGGCAAGGTCTCTCCCTGGGACTTGGGGTTCACTGATAGGGTAGATGAGCTGGCCAGCAAACCCCTGGAATCCTCATGTCTCCTCCTTCCCAGTGGAATTACAAATGCGTGGACATTGTGCATAGCTTTATGTATGTCAGTGCTAGTGATGGGACTCCTGTCCTCATGCTTGCAAAGGAAGCACTTTACCTATTGAACTCCAGCTCCAGCCCCAGCCCCAGCCCCAGAACATTTTGACAATTCCAAACTTACCAGGTCTGACTTTTATCATCTGTGTGTGCCATCTGAGAATTTTGTCTAGGTGAGGTTGTGATGTTTTCCTCCTGTGTGTTCTGCTAGGAATATATTCTGAGCATCCTGTCAGGTGGCCATTAGGGTTTGCCCTTTCTACGTGGACATACAGTTCTTAACCACCACCCCAAGTTGCTTTGTGCTCTAGTTTAAGTCCATGTGTCTGGTGCCTATGGGTTTAGAGTGCAGAGAGACACAGGAAGAGCAGGTGGACAAGTGGAAGCTCCTTGGGGGTACAGGGCACTGCAGGCCCAGGGGTGGTGGGGTCAGTATGGTCTAGGAGGAACCTGTACAGTTCAGGGAAGCAGTAGGAATGTACTGTGAAAAATCCACATTTAGCCAGATATCATCATGGTGCACACCTTTAGTCCCAGCACTTGGGAGGCAGAGGCAGGCAGATCTCTGTGAGTTCAAGGTCAGCCTGATCTATAAAGTGAGTTCCTGGACAGCCATGATTATTATGCAGAGAAACCTTGTCTTGAAAAACCACACACACACACACACACACACACACACACACACACACACACACACACCACAATTAGGGCTTGGAGAGAGAAAGGGAGTGATGAGGGGTATGAGAAGGGCAACAGTGGTCAGCCAAGGGCCTGTGATGCCTGGGGGGAAGACTCGGTGTAGACTGTGGGCATGGCCTGTGGGAACCCAGCAGATATTGGAAGGGCAAAGAATAGAGTGCCTGGGACACTGCAGTGTTTGGTGTGTGCCTATGGGAATGATTGTCATCAAAAGGATGGATGCCCTCCCTGACACCAAGGGAGAAGATGGTGTCAGGGAGGGCATCCAGAGGAGAAGACACTGGTGCCTTTCCTCCAAGTAGGAGGGAGGATAGCCACTGAATTAAAGCCATGGAGTTGGGCAGAGATAACAGAGGCTCTATATTCCCTCACCACACATTAGGCATACCTAGAGAAGGTCAAGACGACCCAATGTGGGCCAGGCATAGTGGTGCACACCTTTAGTCCCAGCACTCGGGAGGCAGATACAGGTGCATCTCTGTGGTTTTGAGGCCAGCCTGATCTACATAGTGACTTCCAGGACAACCAGGGTTACATAGAGGGACTCTTAGACAAAAACTAACCCATGCCAAGTGGCCTAGGGTAGCCAGGAAGGAGGAGAGCACTTGGGGTGGGTGTTGGTCAAAGATTGTTGAAAGGTAGCAAGGACATAGAAGGCTGAGAATTACAGGGGGAGGGAAGGCAGAGTGGGCAGAAGCCATGGAACTTGAGGAGAGTGGAGGGCAGACAGACAGAGTGGACAGAGGCAGGTAGAGATGAGGCTTCCCTGTGTGTCCACTGTCAGGTAGGAGTGACTGTTCTGAGCCATGCGTCCTTTCCTTTGCCTTGATGTCTGTTTCTCTTTTGCAGAATTAAAACAAGGAATTCCCCAAGATTTGTCTTCTTCCCCCAAATTAGACAGATACAAAATAGCAAGACAATTAACAGAAAAAGCCATCAAGGTAAATGTGTTTCGGGACTCGCGGGTGGGAGTACTGTTTAAAAACTGGGAAATTATTTTGGAATTTCATTTTGGGTATTGGCCTGATTGGATGACTTCCTCCCATATGGAGATAAGTATCACTGTTGACTCTGAGTTTCTTGTATAGCCCTTGCTGGCAGCCAGCTCCTTGTGCCCCACGAACTTATACAGCCACATTGTGGATGATAGGCATTCAGATTACTTCCCCCACTGAAAGGCAATTTGGTAGGGCCCTCTGGCCCACATATCTCCTATGGGTGCCAGGACTTAGCTCCAGGCATCTTCTGAGCATGCTCCTAGATAAGGTCAGATCTTCCAATGGGCAAGGTTAGGTGTGTTGCCTAGCAACATACACTTTTCCATAGAAAAACAGCACTACAGCTGACGCCTGAAGCCATATCAATGTCTGTGGGCCATGTTACTGCTTGAGGCCATGTTGAGGTCTGTCCTGTAGCTGGAGGCCATGTTGATGTTCATAGTATGTGCTCCTGCCAGAAGCCATGTTGTTATCACCAAAAGCCATGTGTATGTCTGTGGCCTGTGCTGCCACCTGAAGTGATATAGTTGAGCTGCCATGAGGGGCCATGTTAGTGTCTGTGGCCATGTTGCCAGTGGTGGCCATGTTGATATTCATGCCTTGTGCTGCTACCAAGGCCACGAAGGTGTCTGTGGCCAGTGCTATGGCCTGGACTATATTGGTATCTGTTGTCTGTGTTGCCACCAGAGACCATGCAGAGGTCTCTGGTCTGTACCACTAACAGAGACTGTGTGGATGTCTGTGGTCTATGCTGCTGCCTGAATCCACATTGATATCCGTGGGCAGGGCTGCCACCAGGGACCAAATTGGTGTCTGTGGCCCGTGTTGCCCTAGAGGCCATGTGGATGTTCATGGTCCATGCTGAAGCAGAGGGCTGTGTTGCTGTCCATAGTTTGTACTGCCACTGAAGACCGTGCTGAGATCCATGGCATGTGCTGATGCCAGAAGCCACATGGGTGTCTGTGGTCCATGCTACCATTGACTGCATAGGGCAAGGAAGCTTCTTTTGGTATGGGTAATTCCAGAGTCACAGGTGAGAGAGACATAGAAGGCTTCTGTGACAACCCATATCCCCCTCCCAGCTCCCTAAAAAGTAAGAGCCTCGACAGGAAGACATTGAAGAGAACTATTAAAAATTGTGATAAGGATGATGAAGTGTAGCTCTCCACAATTGATGGCTTCTGGCAGGGGCGGAGGTGGGGAAGGACTTAGCTTTCTATAACAGACTGGCCACTGGGAATTTGACCATGCTCCAGTGACTAGATGGACAACATAAATTGGACTTGTTTTTCTGGGGGCTGGGGGGGGGTAGACCTGGGAAGACTGGGTAGTGAGTGTGATAGGATGTGTTATGAGAAATTCCCAATTAATCAATAAAATATTATGCTGGAGAAAAGTTAAATAAATAAAAATACTTTTGACCCATACAGGATGCAGAACATGCCTATGCTCATGCACACACATACACAAAACAGCACCACAGTGTGACAGCATCTAGGCTTAGCTTGTCTCTATTCATGTCTCTGATGAAATCTGAGCTCAGCTTGTTTTTCTATCTTGGATCTGTGATAAAGTCTAAATTCAGACTATCTCTTTCATGATGGGCTCTGGGCTCAGCTTGTCACTGTCTGATAGGGTCTAGGCTTTGATGGTGGCTTGGTGTGCTGGCCAAGATTCATTCTGGCTGTGCTGACTTCCTGAGTGTCTCTGATTTCAGCCCTTTGAGAGTCAGCAGAATCCCTCCTCTGTGGTGTTACAGCCATCAGTGGGGACATTCTGAGCTTCAAGTCTCTGTTAGGGACTCCCTGGCTATTCATCAGAGTCACTGATTTATGACCTCAGTGACATTTGCAAAACCCTGTCGCATTCTTGGCATGGTACCAGTGATTGTGGTGTGATATCCTGTCACCTTGCTGGTTAGAGTCCAAGGAGGGTGTTCTGCATGTATGACCTTTCAGGTCTATGCATCTGCTGCAGGACTCCAGCTGGTTCTGCTTATCTCTGACCCTATTAGTGACTGAGTACAGGCCAGGTCACTGACTTCACCTAGCATGTGATTTGGGGTACCCACATGAATAACAGCTTCTCTTCTGTGGCTACATAAAACACCTGCAGCCTCATATTTTATTAAGAAAAGGAATTTATTTGCCACCCAGTTTTAAAGGCTGAAATCCAGAACTTGAGTGGCTCCCCCATTTGGTTGTGTAACATGAGTGGCAGATGGCAGCACTGTAGGCATGTGCGTGGGAGGGAAAATACATTTGATAGAGGAGACCAGAGGGAGGTGGGGAGTTGGCTCACTTTTATAACTGCTCACTGTGTGAGAGCTACTCACATCTAGGGCATGTATCCACTTTACCCCCATGCTGATTACCTTGCCTCAAACATGAGCCTCTTGGGGACAAGTGATGATGTCCTATCAATGACAGTTCTTTTCCTGACCTTGCCCTCTGCTGGGAAGACTGGAGCAGTACAACTGCCACCCACCTGCTCATCCACGCACAGCTAACCACCTCCAAGTGATGACGCAGGATCCCAGCAGCTTCGGGACTGGCCCTTTCCCTTCTGTCCTGTTACCCAGTAATTTCTCCCTTTCTGCCATTCCAACCTCAGGCACCCATTGCTCCTATACATATGAGTCACACTCTCCTAGTGTTTCTGTGATAAGACACCATGACTAAAAACAACTTGGAGAGGAGAGGGTTCGTCCCATGTTACAGGCTTATAGTCCATCTAGGAAAGTCAAGGCAGGAACTCAGGGCAGGAACCTGGAGGCAAGACATGAAGCAGAGACACATTTCTCATTGGCTTGCTCCTACAGCTTGTTTGGCCTGCTTTCTTATAAACTCAGGACCACCTGCCAAAGGGTAGCACTACCACAATGGTCCAGGCCCTCCAAAATCTACTGTTAATCAAGAAAATGCCCCCATGGGCTTGCTCACAGACAAATCTGGTAGGGGCATTTTCTCAATTGAGGTTCCTCTTCCCAAATGACAGGCCCCTCACTTTTGTATGACAGAAAGCCACACAGGGAGTCCCTCAGCTATTCTCCAGACCTGCAGGCATTGCATAGCAGTGTATTCCACCTTCGTTCCAAGTCCAGAAATCCTGAGTGGGAGCCGCTGTGACTACTGCTCAGGAAGCATCGGCTTTGTCAGTTGTGTTTTGGCCTCCTTTTTGTGTGTCTGAATGTGTGAATGAGTGTGTAAAGATGACTGCCTTTGTGATCCTGACCCAATGATAAACACCCACAAGTAACCCCAATACATGCACACTCATGTACATACAAACACACACACACACACACACACACACACACACACACACACACACACACCTGATTGCTGGAGACGTTACTGTGCTCTCTGGGCAAAGTAGAAGTTCCATCCTACTTTAGAAACTCACCTTACATTGACTCAATCCCCTCATTGCTGAGTGCTTCCATTAAAACACTGCTATTTTTAGGAAAAGAAGATTTTCTCCATCTATGGACACTACCCTGTTATCCGGGCCACGCTGCGAAGAAAGGGCTGGGTGGAGAAAAAGTTTCATTTCTTGCCCAAAATTCTTCAGAATGTTGAAGGTGAAGGTAAAGAGCACATGGGTGGAGTAACAGACTCACCTTGTCCCATGTAGGATTTTTTCTATGTGGCTAACAAGTCAGTTATCCTTGGTGCAGTGACTCTGCACACTCATTGGCATCTGCCTTCACGTCCCCACCACCCTCCCAAACTCTCAGGCAGCCACACTCCTACCACAGTGCCAGGCACTTTTTGGTGCCCCCATGTCCACACTCAGCTTCTGCCAGCTCCATTCCACACCAAGGCCATTCCTCAAGTTTCCATAATCAGGCTGGTCCTCCCCAGACTCTCGACACAGCCTCTACTGAGGGTCATCCAATAGCCTGGAGCATCCCCTCAATCCTGACTTATCACAGCCTACATGAGATGTTGCACAGGATGCCGGAGGAAATGGGCATGTGTAGCCTCTACAGCATAGCCCTCAAAGATGACCTGCTGCCCCAGGGGAAGCCTCGCTTGGAGCTTCTAGTGCACAAGTGGTTATCCATTCATAGTGGGACCCCAACACTACAGGGAGTCTGGCATGGTACCTGAACACTGTGGCAGCAATATCTCTCTTATGTTTTACTTGCAGATAATAAAAGTGCAGAGACCAAAGAAAATCAAGAAATACCTTTGGAGAGATTAGATGATATCCATGATGTGATGGTAGGCCCCGTGGCCTGGTATTGGGGTATACCACGGTCTTTCCAAGGCAGAGCACACTGGACAGAGGGTGGAGTGAGGCTCCTGTGAGGGAATATTGGGCATCTGCCTTTGTGCTGTATCCTGACTAGCATGAGTGAGACTGTGATCAATGAGGTGCTGAGTGGTTGGGCTGGGGGTCTGTGCATTACAAGATAGAAGTAGAAGGGGCCTGGCCAGTGAACAGATAGGGTCTCCAGTAATGCGGCAGTTACACCCCAGTCACCTCTAGCCTGGCTCCACTGAAGCCTTCCTACATCTTCTATAAAGAGAACAAAAAAGGTTAGTCCCAAGGCAGAAGTCTTTAACATACATGGAATTTAAAAGAGCAGATATCCAGAATGTCTGTGTATAATATCTCATAAATCAGTGCTAAAAATAAATAAACATTATTGATGGACAGAGGGTTAGCTCCCAGGTGGTCAGAAAGCACATTAGGTTTATGGAGTTAGTTTCATTTTTATAGCTGGCTGTGCACTTAGTCTTCGATCTGTGAGTACCAGATCCTGGTACTGTTCCCTACTCTGTACAGTGGGAGGAAGCTACCTCCTAGGTGTTCTGGGAGCAAGCATCTTCTGGACCACACTCTCAGGTCCCAGAGCACCACATTTACCTCTATTCAACAGACAGCATGTCTCTAAGTCCCATATAGATACCAGAGTGGGAAAAGTTCAGGTTCACCTTCAGCCCAAAATGGAGAAAAGCAGCTGGTTTCTGGGCAGCAGACACTCCAGGTGGTTTGGGGTGTCCCCATACCAACACATGGAGCCCTCAGGACCTCAGCTAAGATTGAACCTCAATCATCACAGTACAATCTAGCTTCTGTTGCACCCTCAACTCTCAGCACCTCAAAGGACTAGATCCTCAAATGCTGGATGTTGATAGAGGGCTCTTCTTGCCAGTCTAGGTTGGTAAAGAACGAGATGCCATACCTCCTCTGGACTATCAAGAGGGACGTTGTGGACTATCACAGTCTGACCTGTGACCAGATGCTGAATCACTATGGGAAGACAGCATCGTTCACCACCAAGGTGGATGGGAGGGCCCTGGGCTTCATTAGAGAGGGTGGGCTGTCTAGAACCAGGAGAAACACAGGGACTGTTCAGCTTCTGGCTCCTCCCCCAAACTCCCACTACCTCATGTCCCATACGCCCACCGCACTCAGGGCACTCTCAGTGCATGGAAGCCCCCTTCCTGGGGAACATAGACCAAGTCAAATATGGGCCCCCAGTGGAGTTCACTTTGTGTGAGGCTGTCCACTGAGGTCCCTGATGCCCTGCTCTCTCTGGAGATTGGGCTGTGTTTGAACATGAGGAGCCTGCCTTGGTATGTCCAGGCCAACCCCAACACCTTCTTCCCACGTTGCTATGGCCTCTGTACGGAGAGTGAGAAGCAGGAATTCTTGGGTGAGTGACCAGCGGCCTTCTGAGGCACCACACTTCCCTAGGGTCCATTTTGTAAGGGCCAGCCCAGACATAGGCAGTGGGGGGGGGGGGGGAAGCACAGACAAAAGCTGTTGAGCTTAAGCATTCAGATCTTAGCTCTGAAGGGACAAGGAAGGCCTCCAGCAGCATTGGCTTAGAGCATCACCATTTACTTCCAATCTCTCTGTGTGGATGCCCTGCTGCCCAGAGCCTGGGCTCACCTTGAGCCTGGGTCTGCAGGGTTCACCGCTGTGGTGCTCTGCTTATGTGTTGTGTGAGTGCAAGCAAGACCCCCTAAGTAGAAGAGGGCTACATTCTAGATAGTCCAGGGTGTCCAGAGAGAGCCCTTAGATTACTCAGAGGGTCCTGGCACTGTAGCAAGGGACTCCTGGGAATATCCCTCAAGTCTTTGAGGGGTTGTGGGGCAGTGATGATGGAGAAGAGAGGAGAAGGGGAGAGTGGTGGGTGGAAGGAGGAGCTGTCAAGACTGGGTGTGGACAGGTGGGTGAACAGCTGGGAGAAAGTGTGGAAGCACCTGATGAGGGTGGCAGGGAGACCCACGTGGCCTGCCCTGCTGCCACTCTGGGTGGGCAGTGGGAGCGAGGCCTTGGTGTCCTTCCAGATGACTTTCGGCGAACAGTGGCTTCCAGCATCCTCAAGTGGGTAGTGAGCCACCAGAATTACTACAGTAAAATCAAAAGCAAGAGTAAGAAGGAGGAGGCCAAGAATGGTGATCCCAGCCCCCAAAAAGGTATGCACCTATGAGGTGGAGTGTCTGGTAAGTGGGTAGTGAGCCACCAGAATTACTACAGTAAAATCAAAAGCAAGAGTAAGAAGGAGGAGGCCAAGAATGGTGATCCCAGCCCCCAAAAAGGTATGCACCTATGAAGTGGAGTGTCTGGTCAACAGTACAGGTCGTTAGCTGGTGAGGTGGGGTCTGGTAGACAGGATGGGCATTGTTGCTTTGGTGGTCAAACAGGCATGAAGAAGGGACACCAGTGCTTCTGGTTCATCTCTGATTCTCATGGTCACCCTGTCTTCTGTTTTGACTGTAGGACGAAATCTTTGTCATCCTATTTGCACAAATATCAGCACCAGGCACCCTTATTTCATGATCATTCTAAATCCTGCCCCCCAGGTGGGATGCCTAGCCAATGGTTGCTGCTGTGACCCTCCATATGACCTCCTGAAAGAGGACCACAGTAGTGGCAGTTCTGTATGATGTCGGCTCACAAGCAGTCACCTGGGTTTAAGGGTTGTGTTGTAGTCTGCTTTAATACAATTTGTTTCTAGAACAGTTTCAGGCTAATGGCAAAATTGAGCAGACGATACATTGGTTTCCCATCACCCTGGGTCTCTAAGCACCCCACTGTCAATGTCGTCACCACTTCAGAGGTACATTTGTTAAAACTGTTGGAAAGTAAACTTTGGCATGTTAAAAATTTTAAAGGATGCTTTTAAAAAGTGATTTGTGAGTGAGGCAGCTTCAGGCTGTGAGTGGAGGCTTTTGTAGTGTTATATGAATTGGTTATAGTTGAACTTGAACTGTAAGGGTGGGGACAGTCAAGACATGTAACAAAAGGCCCCTGGATGCTTATGATTGACGGAGGTAATTCTGCAACTCCTGGCCCTTTTTCCTGCCTCCATGGTTCTTCCTTTTTCAGTATTTCTACAGTGGGGACCTCACTGTCTGCAACCTGTTGACATTGGTTTCATTCACTTAGCAACAGGCTTTGAAGTGTCTTCCTTCCATGCTTGCTGCTTTATAATTAGGGCTGAGTAATTAATTAATTGTCCACATGTGCTGGGTTATTTATCCATTCCCCCACTAATGGACTCTTATCATGGATCAAACTGCTATAGACTTCTATGCACAAGTTTGTTACAGGAATTCTGTCACCAGCCCACTAGCCAATTGAGAGGAACGTTTTGGTTCAAGAGGCAGAGTTTTCATTGGAGATGGATATGACTGAGAAAAAAGGCAGAGCTGAGGAGGGCATGGGCCTTTATGAGCAAGGAGCAAACAACTGTAGGTGTTTTAACAGTGGCTTGTGATTTAGTTCAGTTTCCCCTTTTATTTTTTAATATGTATGCATCGATTTTTTGGTAATTAAACGGTAAAGAAATTCTGCAGCACCTGCTACCCCACATTGAGCATCATATGTAGGTTGAGTTTTCCCATCCCAGGAACCACTTCCAAATAATCACTCTGAGGCGTATATTAATTGTAAATGCTTGGCCAATAGCTCAGGCTTATTACTAACTAGCTCTTATATTTTAAGTAAACTCATATTCCTTATTGACACTCTGTCACATGGTGGTACCTTTATTAATATGGCACATCCATCTCCTGCTCATTCTGCATCTTCTGGCGACTCCTCTGACTCAGCCCTTCCTCATCCCTTCATTCTCTGTTTGGCTTCCCACATAACTGTATCCTGTTTAGCTACTGGTCAGTCTGCTTGTTTATTAAACCAATCATAGTGACATATGTTCATACAGTGTAAGGGAATATTCCACAGCAGCAGATGCATATAAATATTAACTCCCAGTCTTTGGCCTATTTCCCCATTCCACTGAAGATGACTTTCACGCAGCAGGGAGCTTTAATTTTAGACTTCTAGTGAAGTTAGCTCACCAGCAATTTCTTTCTGGATCAAGCCTTTAGTGTTGTATCTAAAGCAGACAACAGAAAGCTCAATATTTCCTTGAGTTTCTATGTTTTTCATCTAAGAGTCTTGTAGCCTCTCATCTTCCATATAGACTTATCCCTTTTTAGTTAATTTTCTTGAACTTGAGGTCTGTATCAAGATTTTGTTTGGTTTTGTTATTTTTCTTTTAAAGATTTATTTCTATTATTCAAAGTGTGTGTGGGGGGGGCCTAAAGTGAATGGAAATTTTAATTTCAAATTCCAGTTGTTCACTACACAGGAAAGTGACAGCTATAGCCACACATACTTCCAGGACTCTGTTAAATCTTTTGTATTTTTCTACAAAGACAATCCTATTATCTGACTATCCAATATCTGTACATTTTACTTCTTTTTCTTATCTTATTGCATTTGTTAGGCTGTCTACCTTATTGCTAAAAATCAGTGGTGCGGTAGGATCTAAACTGATGTCCTCTTTCTCGATCCCAATATTAATAATTTGTGTCTTCTCTCTTTTTTTCTTAACCTGGCTATGGATTGGTTCATGGTAATCTTTTCAAAAATCTAGAGCTTGTCTTAGGACTACTGTCTTAATTAGGGTTTCTATTGCAGTGAAGAGACATCATGCCCACAGTAACTCTTATAAATGAAAACATTTAACTGGGGAGGCTTACAGTTCAGAGGTTTAGTCCATTATCCATTATGGCGGGACAAGGAGACAGTCAGACAGACATGGGCTGGAGAAGTAGCTGAGAGTCCTGCATCTTACAGGTAACATGAAGTGGTCTGAGTATCACAATGAGTGAAGTCTGCATCCACAATGACACGCTCCCTCCAACAAGGGTGTAGATATTCAATAAACCACACTTCCTAATAGTGCCACTCCCTTTGGGAGCCATTTCATTTAAAACCACCACAGTTTCTATTGCCGTGAAGTGTCACCATGACCACGGCATCTCTGAGAAGGGAAAACATTGAATTGGGGCTGGCTTCTAGTTCAGAGGTTTAGTCCATTATCATCATGGTGGGGAATGGTGTGCAGGCAGACATGGTGCTGGAGAAGGAGCTGAGAGTTCTACATCTGGATCCACAGGTAGCAGGAAGAAACTGAGACACGCTTCCTCCAACAACACTCCAACAAGGTCACACCTCCTAAGTGTGCCACTCTCTATAAGCCTATGGGAGCCATTTTCTTCGAACCACTACATTCCACTCCTGGCCCCATATACTCGTAGCCATATCATAACGCCCATTGTACTCTCTGAAACTGTCACATAGACCTATTCTTGCTTTGCAGCATGCTCAGTGCTGTGCCCATCACAACACTCCTCAGTGCCATGTCTCAACCAACACTGTGCCTGAAGCCTCTGCTGCTCCCCATCTATTCTGCAGCCCCCTACCTCCCTGGGTAACCTACAGCTAGCCAGGAAGGGGTCTCAGTCTGTTGGCCATGTTCTTGAGGCCACTTGAAGTCCACTTTCAGTCTGTGCTTCCTGAGACTCAACAGTGGTCCTGAATCATGGGGTTGAGAAGGGGTTCAGGTGCCAGGACCTACCAGCACTCCCTGTGCATGTGGTACAGGAAGCTCTGTAGCAATAGGAATTGTCAATCATAGCAGCTGTAAGTACTCACAGGTGTCAGAGCAACACAAGGATCACAGAGTGTGAGATCAGAATGCATGTTTTTTGTGTCTCTGTCTTGACATCCAAGTCTAGTTTCACTGTATTCAGAGGTTTCTCTCCTGCCCACTAGTTCCCAAATAACCACTCAGAGGCTTAATATTACTTATAAATGCTTGACCAATAGCTCAGGCTTGTTACTAGCTAACTCGTAAATTAACCTATATTTCTGATTTACACTCTTCCAAGTGACTCGTGGCTTGTTACCTCATTTTCTACACATCCTGCTCCCTCAGTGGCTGGCTGGCTGGCTGGCTGGCTGGCTGGCTGGCTGGCTGGCTGGCTGGCTGGCTGGCTGGCATGTCCTCTGACTGCCCTTCTTCCTCCCAGAATCCTTGGTGTCTGGCTGTCCTGCCAATACTTCCTGCCTGGCTACTGGCCTGTCAGCTTTTTATTAACCAATGAGAATAATACATATTCACAGTGTATAGAAGGATTATTCCACAGCATTTCATGGTGTGGCAGGTAGTTGAGAAGACTCACGAAGGGGAAGAATCACCTCCCAGGGGAGCTGCGGCAGGAGCAGGAGGCAGCTTCTGCACTCAGGGTGGAGCTCACACTCAGTGCCCGTGCTTGAATTCCAGAACCTGATGATACTGACCTCAAGTTCCAAGGCCTCTCGGGACAGCTTGTGGACACAGCATGCAAGGTGTGCCAGGCCTACTTGGGACAGCTGGAGCATGAGGACATTGACACATCAGAGACCAGCACTGAAGCATTGTCTGAGGAAGAATGGAATGATCTGACAAAGCAGTACTACTTATTGGTTCAGTAAGATGCCACACCACTGCCTTGACACCAGAGGTGTCCCTGTGCACACACACTGGGATGCATGTTTGGGTGCTGGAGCACCTATCTGAATGTTGAGGGCACTTGCCTTGATTTCTGGGGATTTTGTCACGAGTCTTGGCATCTGTCTAGGTATTGGGGTGCTTATTATCTTCTGAAGTACCTGTCTAAGATTGAGATGCCTCCTGAGTCTTGGGGTACCTCCTGATATTGCAGAACCTGCCTTTGGTATCATGGGTGCCTATTGGCTGTTAGGGTACCAAAACTTTTGTTATTTGTTTAAAAATATGACACCTCCTGTGGGAATCTTTTGGAGGTACCATCTCATTTTGTACCTTCCCAGCTCCTTCCATGCTTGATATCACTTGGACCCACAATAGTCCTGTAAGTTTGTCCTGCTCAGGGCCTGGCAAGCTCTGGGTGATGAGTAATGGCAAGCAGGGGTGCTTCCCAGGCTGTCCAGGATGCTGGTCACCTCTCATCGCCAAGACCCACATAATGATGCTACTTCCCTACTTTCCTCAGCTTCCCACCCCCTGTGGTAACAAAATCAGAGAGGCAATGCTTGTTTCAAGGGTCCATGGTAACCCCCACATACTGTCCTGGGTGTCTTCACCCTTTGGCCCTTCCTTCCCTCTATTTGATTGCCAAGCATTTTCTTCTCTTCTCCCCTCTCCTCATCTCCCCCCTTCCTTCCTCACTCTCCCCCCCCCCAGCCCCTTTCTGTTGACTTATGCCTGTAATCCCAGCACTCAGGAGGCTGAGGCAGGAAGAACTTGAGATCGGGGCAAGACTGGGCTATGCATTGAGTCTGGGGCCAGCATGGGGTATATTTAGTAAGACTCTGTTTATTTTTTTAAGCTAACCATAAAGAAATGATTTGTTTGTTTGTTTATATAGATTTGTTTATTATATACAGTGTTCTGTCTGCTTGTATATCTGCATGCCAGAAGAGGGAACCAGATTTCTTAACAGATGGTTGTAGTTGCTGGGAATTGACCTCAGGACCTCTGGAAGAGCAGTCAGTGCTCTTAACCTCTGAGCCATCTCTCCAGCCCCAGCATTTTGGGTTTTTTGTTTGTTTTTTGAGACAGGATTTAGTATGAGTCACTGCACCCCAAACCTTCTTTGTTTTATTACTCACCTTTAAGTAGCACTTTCACTATTTCCCAAACCAATCATGACAGTGTGGCCTAGCTTACTTCCTCCCATTCCTGGCACTCTTGTCACTCATTTCTGTCTACCTTTGCTTTGTTTTTTATTTATGAGGGGGTTGCATGAATGCATGTACAGTGTCCCTGAACGAGTGCATCAGGTGTAGAGTTTTCCTGGAACTGGAGTTACAGGTGATTATGAGCCACTTGATATGTGTACTAGGCACTAAATCTGGGTCCTCTGCAAGAACAGTTAAGTTCCCTTAACCTCTGAGCCATTTCTCCATCCTCTATCTTTGTTATAAGAGGTATGTGGCTTGTTGCTTTGAAAAATCAGTTATTTTCATTTTTTTTGTACATCAACTATTTTTTGTTCAGTAAAACATCTCTTAGTCTATCTTCTAATAACATCCTGTGGTAGAAAACTTTGTCCATTATTATTATTATTATTATTATTATTATTATTATTATTTTGATCTCAAAAATCTAAAGTTTTTTTCACTTTTGAGAGATATTTTCTCCAGGATAGAAGTCTCAATTTGCAAAGATAGTTGCTGTTGGAATGTTATTCTACCATCACCGGCTCATGCTGTTTGGATCAGAAGTTTTCTGCTGGTATTTTGGCTCTTCTAGAGGGAAGTAGTATCTTTTTCTCTGGCTGCCTTAATACTTTTGTCTTCGGTTTTAGTAGTTTGCTTATTATATTTGTTATTATGTGTGTGGGAATGCTTTTGTATTTATCCTTGTTCAGGTTTTCCTCCAAATTCAGACTCTGGTAATTATTTCTACATCCGTTGCTTCTGCTTCTTCCTGTCTCTTCTCTCCCTGGGACTCAGAGTGCACGTGTTATGCTGTGTCCCATGTGTCTCTTACCTGGTCTTTTCCTTCATGACTATCAGGAGAGCCCTCCTAATATACTTGTCTGTTCCTGGCAATGTGTTGTGTTCCACTGGTCTATCTAACTAACACTAGTGCACATTCATGACTTAATCCATCAAAGGAGAAGCATGCTGTGTTTACTCTCCTTTTCAGGAGTTGTCCTTATACTCCCCTATGTGAGTTGTTCTAGACATAGTGTCTTCCTAGTCAAATTGGCTGTGTCTTTGCATTTGTTAGCCACTAAAAACAGGGAAAAGTTGATAAAAAATGATTTGTGTTGGCTTAAGAACTATTTCTCACTGGCAGTGGTGGTGCATGCCTTTAATCCCAGCACTAGGGAGGCAGATATAGGAGGATCTCTGTGAGTACGAGGCCAGCCTGGTCTACAGAGTTCCAGGACAGCCAGGACTGTTACACAGAGCAACACTGTCTCGAAAAGCAAACAAACAAAAAACTGTTTCTGAAAAAGCGTTGTAGAGGATGACAACAGAAGCCACAGACTAGAAACAGATCCACTGTCCACACATCCAACAGAGGTTCAATTTAGAAATTACAGAGTGAGCCACAATAAGTTAGAGGAAAAAAATTAACCAAATGAAGCCCTCAGTTGCTTCTCTATCACATGTGAAGTCCCGAGTCCCATCTCCAGCACCACATAAACTGAATGCTATGGCCCAAGGCCTATAAACCTACGCACTTAGGGGGTAGTAGCAGGAGGATCAGAAGTTCAAGGTCATCTTCAGTTTCATAGTAAGTTCAAAGCTCCCCTTGGCTACATGAGACTCTGTCTCAAGAAAAAAAAAATTGAAACAGACTCTTTATGAAAGACAAATTCAGCTGTTGAATCAGACTAGAACTCTTGGTGGTAGCTCCTATCATCCTGGAAGGACTTTGAACTCAAAGCCACCCTGTTCTATACCTGACTCTGTCTCAAAAGCTGAAAAAGGAAAAAGAAGCAACAAAAACGACCATGATGGGACATGATGGGATAACTCTGCACACCAGGATGGCTGAGTTGTTGGTGTAAGTCAGCAGCTCTAATGCAGTGCTGGTAGGAGTGCCAAGCAAAGCATTTTGGGAAAGCAAGAACTGTATGCCCTATGACCCAGCTCTTCCATCGCTAGAGAAATGGAAGAATCTAGCCTCAGAAAGACTCAGTGAGCCCAAACCTGTCAGACCCTAGTCATGTTAGAGCAGGGGCTACAAATGGCACAGCCATGGACAGATCTCCCAGCTGTGAGACTAAAGGACATTTCTCAGGAGGGGGATGGGAGGAGGAGAGGGAGAGATGGAAAGAGAGAGTAAGTATCCCAGTGTCCCGGACCATGGGTGTGAAGTTCAAGAGAGGCAGAGATCATCCCTGTGGTAGAAAGTGACAGTGATGAGCCGCTACTGGAACATTACACTGGAGAACTTTCTGAGAAGCTCATGATCTCGGGCTGGTGATATTGACACAAGACCACACAAAAGCAAAAAATCATCAAACGTCCCTTTTTCTGTTAAGTGTTCTGTTCTTAAACCTCTACAAAGGAAAGCCCAAGGCTTCACCACCACTGGGTGGCAGCATTGGGTTCCATTGCGGTGAGGCATGACCCTGTCAGAGGAGCAGATTCTCTGGTGCATTGCAGTGACTGCCCCCTTAGATGCACTACAGCCTGCTGAGAGCCTGGGGGTGGGGTGGGGTGGGGTGGGGCCAAGAGGCTACACTTGATGGGACCTGCAGAGACCCTATCTGTTCTTTGCTGGGCATGAATATGTGCAGAGTTGGAGCATTTCTGAAACAGGCTAAGCTCCTGCTGTGTTCTCAGAGATCTTGCAGCTTTTACATCCTTTCATTATGTGGCAGAAGCAGCATTATGTGGGCAACATGGCATGGTAATTCATGAGTCCAGTGCTGCTGGCTCACCTCCCAGGGTGACTCCCAAGGCCCAGGCTCCAGTGTCCTGCAGAGATCGGAGGGGGTTCCTTTCCACTGGACAGCAAAACACTTGTCTTTCTGAGCCACAGTGGTGGGAGAATCCCTGCCATTAGGCACTTGCTGAGATGTCATCCCTTTGCACTAGTCTGGCCTGTCATTTTGATGGAGACACTGGGATTGTCTGTACCTGTTTGCACCATGTACTGATTGCGGCAGAGATATCCCATCATTATGGAGTTGATCAACTTGTAACATCTGTGGAGGAGGCCCACAACTGCTTGGTATCTGGCCAGCAAAGGCAAGCTCACTTATGACATATCAACCTGTTTCCTGCACCCAGGAAACTGCACTCTTGTTCTCTTGAAACTCTCACCCGCATAGCCAGGGATTGCCTTTATTCACTTTTTCCTAAATGCTGTCCTCCTTTCCCAGCAGGTGGACAGAACATACATGTCTCCTGTCCCTAAGCCCTTGCTCTTAACCTCTGGGGCTGCAGCCAGAGTTGTGGCTCAGCAACAGTCATAGGACAGTATGCAGAGAGCCTGCACTGAACATTCCCCACTGTGTCAGGGCTGCCCATAGAACGTGAGCAGGGCTGTGGGTGTTGTTTTGGATGTTTCTCTCCCAGGTGCCAGTAGTGCACCCTCAAATTCTGGAGGCTGCTCAGACTACTGATCTCTGTCCTTACTCCCTGAGGTTATGATGGGTTTTTAAGTCAGGCCTTTTCCTACAAGTCTGATGTTACCAACATGGACATGGGGTCAGGTTGACAGTCCAGGTCACAGGACAATATGCCAGCTGCTAGCTGGGACACGTTAAGTCTGCATTGGAGCTTGGCTTGCTTTATAAGGGTCTTTCTGGCAACAACAATGCAGGCAGTTTCTCGGCACAGGGACCCACCTGTCTCTGGTTTCCCTTTGGTATAGAATTGGTATCCTTGTCCATACAGGCAATCCAGGAACATGTATCAGGGTTTCTCTGTCTCTCCTTTCTTTTTTCCTTCTCTCTAGTATGTAACCTTGGCTGTCCTTTAACTTGCCATGTAAATCATATAGGTCTAGAACTCACAAAGATCCTCCTGCCTCTGCCTCTGCTGAGTACTGACTGGTGTTAGAGGCATGCACTACCATGTCTGGCTAGGGTCCTTGGTGCTTGCCCTGTCCAAGTACAGCCTCTAAGGTCCATGACCCAGATATCCTCAGTTGGTTGACATCCTCTGCTGCCCCTAACCCTTTCTTGCCAGATAACCATTCACCTTTCCTAGAGCAGAGGCACCCACCAGTCACTAGGGGCTGAACGCTGCCTCTCAGAGCCTCATGCCCTCTCTGGATCTTGCTTTTTAGTGGCAATGCTTTCATCCTTGATTCGAGAAGCTACTTTTCACAGTGCCAGGCTCTGCTGAGTAAGATCAGCTCTGTGAACCCTCAGACAGACATCGACGGGATTCGAAACATCTGGATCATAAAACCTGCAGCAAAGTCCCGAGGTCGAGGTGAGTTCACTGGGTAGATGCCTCCCCAACATACAAATCTCCTACCTTGACAGCACCTGCTCCATGATGGAGGGAGATCCAAGCAGTACTGTCAAGGTCAGACAGGGATGCCCAAGCTAAGCTGGAGGAGGAGGTGTCCATCATAGTGTTGTTCTGGAGTTTGCTGATTTAGCTCAGATTTCCTCATTTGCATGCACCCGCTAAACAACCTCAGAGTGTTATTTTTGGATGTGGGAGTGTGGGGGTGTTTGTGAGTGAACATGTGTTACCTTGATCTTAGCAAGGACTGTCATCTCAAGCAGTGTACGTTCTCATACCATAGATCCTCTGTAAACTTCACCTGTAAAACCTAGAACTCTTAGAGGCAAATTCTGAACTCCTCATAAAATTTGCCTGTGGATTATTCACTTATTCACACTTACTGCCTCATCTACCCAAATTGTAGCCAGAATTGCATTCTTTCCTTTCTTGATGGTGTGTGTGTGTGATGGCGTGTGCATGTTCATGTACATGTATGCATGTGTGTGATCTCCTAATCTTGTGTTAAGTCAATGGTTTCAGTTTTCAATTTTCCAATGAGAGATTTTTCTCTTGTCTCTGATTTAAATGCCAAGTTGATTTATTTCCAGATTATCCCTATGAAATAATAAAAGATTAAAGGCTACGAAATTTTCTCAGTCTGTGGCATTAGCTACATCTTCTTGTCTCTGTTAAAGAACATCCTATTTCTCTATAGTATTCAAATGGACTTTTTATTTTGTATATCCTATTGGTCTCTTGAGATCTTCTAAAGATTTTTAATTTTCAGGTTATTTGTGATTTAAATTTACATTTATTCATTTTATGTGTACGATTGTTTTTCTTGCATGCATGTATGTGTACCATGTGTGTGCCTGTTGCCTATGGAAACCAGAAGAAATTATCAGAACCCCTGGAGTTACCAGCTCTCATGAGCTACATGTGAGTGCTTGGAACCCAACTCATGTCCTCTATAAGAGCTACATGTACTCTTAATTTCCGAGCCATCTCTCCAGCCCTATATATGTGATCTTTAATTTTTTTAATTTGTGGTTTATCACATCCAATCCTAAAGGTCTTCTGTCCTGAATTCTTCTCTTCCCCAGTGTATGTGGTCCACCCCCTTCTGGTGTCCTGCAGATGGACAGGTCTTCCTCCATTCTCCTGTGATTTGGCCTTGATTGACAGCACATGCTGTCTTCCTTCTTGGGCTCTGTGCTCAGCCCCCTTCTCTTCCTAAGAAATCTGTCTTCTCTCACCCATCAGGCCATACGTTCCTCCCACTGAGACTCCATCCCCAGGGATACTTTGTGGATTGCTCAGATGTGCTGTTCTCAATAAATGCATTTCTCCCTGCTGGTCACTGCATATGTTTTTGCCAACTGCTGGTGGCCCTTGGGTGTAGGTCCAAGGTGACCTCAGCAGTTTGTTTCATTTTAGGCAAGATCTCAACTTGCTGTGACCAAATACATGGAAGCCATGTGCTTTGTGAGAACTTGTGCCTGTGGGACCCTGTGGATGGAAGTCCCTCTACCTTTTATGGACAGAATTGATGACCAGATGGTACTGTGTAACAGCATCCCCAAATGTCTGCCTATTCATTTTCATCCTACATGGCAGAGGAAAGAGAGCTGCAGGGTCTGTCAATGGCATTAAACCCTACATATCTCACAGTGACACAAGTCACTCTTTCCTGCATGCCACACAAGCCATGCAATGTACTTTAGGGCCAAAGGTTGGAAATTGTTCTGAGTAAAGAAAAGACAATGGGGAGAGAGTAAACGCCTCTACCTGGGCATTTATTGTATTTGGTGGATCGCTCCTTTAGCATTAGCCCTCACTGGTCTCCAGGGGCCCTGCTCTGAGGACACAGCAAACCCTAAAGCATGCTATTGAGTGGCTTTCCTTTGATTTCTGAATGCCCTCTGGAGTGGGGGTTTGGCAGGAGGGCTGAACAAGTGGCTGGCACCAACTGTAGCTTTGGCCACTGAACGCACATCTGCCCTGCCCAACCATCCCCTGCAAGCTCTTGGTGCTGGGCCAAAGCCAGGGTTGGTATCAGGGCCTATCATGACCATGGGGGTTGGGAGAGAGTGCTGTGCTGCACTGAGCCAAGGTACCCCCTCTTGTTCTTGGAGATATTGTGTGCATGGACCGTGTGGAGAATATCCTGGAGTTGGTGGCCACAGACAACCAGAACACAAAGGACAACAAATGGGTGATCCAGAAGTACATCGAGACACCGATGCTCATCTATGACACCAAGTTCGACATCAGACAGTGGTTCCTTGTCACAGACTGGAACCCTTTAACCATCTGGTTCTACAAGGAGAGCTACCTCCGTTTTTCCACGCAGCGCTTCTCCCTGGACAAGCTGGACAGGTCAGCAGGGGGAGCTCCATATTCCTCTAAGTGCCTAGCCCTTGGGTATGTATAGATGAAGCACCCTTGCTATTTGCCAGTCTGGACCCTGGAGGTTGCCTCTCACCGACAAAGCATCAGGGCATAAGGGCTCCCAGCTCAAACACTCAGGGGTGCTGGTGATTAACAAACCACATTCCAGTGAGAACCAACCTGAACCCTCAGGGATGACCCCGGGCTTTCAGTGCTTTAGTGACTATCACTTGGCAGGCAGTGCTGGGGGCCTGGATGCCCTGGGGAACTTTGAAAGGGAGAGTCAGATGGAATCCTGGGAGCCTGAGGGTTGTGCAATAGAAACTTGGCCAATGAACTCTAACCGCTTGCCCCTTACCCCCCAGCACACCTGTTAGGTCACACCTGGAATGGGGCTGGGCATAACTGAAGGCAACTACCCCTGTGTGTTGCCTCTGGACAAGAGCCTATACTGTAGGCTCTAGAAACTCCCTGGAAATAGACCCTTGGAGCTGCATGCAGCCTCTTCACATGGGCTCAGCTGAGCCATCAACTCTGGGCCTGGCAATATCATTCACTGTCCTTCAGCTCAGGCTGATGGGAAACTCCCAGAAATGGTGTCTGAATGGGAATAGCCCAGCTTTACAAACAGAAGTTAAAGAAGTAGATGGATGGCTACATCTTTTAAATGTTCACCTTTCTTTCATGTGGTTGTGGGTCAGGCCTCACTCTAGAACTGGATGGAAATTCTCAGGGTGACATACCTGCAGGTCAAATGAAAATACCCTTAGCTCCAACAGTGGTCTTCTAGGAGGTACCGCTTGTTTTAAGTCTATGCAGAGCAAGGCAGGAATATTAACTAACTCACTAGAAACTATGGGTAGGTGGCTCGCATGCTCCTACTGCATATACATAAGGGAGAACTGAGGCCTGGGCAGATTATTTTTCCTAGTGGTTGGTTTTGCATTGGAGGGCTTTTGCCATGTCTGTGCTGTTTCTCCAGGCTGGTTGAGGGGTCCATAGCTGCTTCTGGGTAGCAGAACTGACAGTCCAACCACTAGCTCAAGCCTTCTACAGTAGCCCTGCACCAGGCAAAGTGACTTGAGAGCAAGCTAGGCAGACAGTTACTGGCTCTGTGTAATGGTTGTTGGCATACACCAATCTCATAAGCACATTGCCCACAGTGCCATCCACCTGTGTAACAACTCCATTCAGAGACGTCTCAAGAATGACAAAGAACGCAGTCCGCTGCTACCTGGCCATAACATGTGGACCAGCACTCGCTTCCAGGAGTATCTGCAGAAGAGAGGTCGAGGGGGAACTTGGGGCAGCATCATCTACCCATCTATGAAAAGAGCCGTCACCAATGCCATGAGGGTGGCTCAAGACCACGTAGAAGCCCGTAAGAACAGCTTCGAGCTCTATGGAGCCGACTTCATCCTTGGGCGAGACTTCAAGCCCTGGCTCATCGAGATCAACTCCAGCCCCACCATGCACCCCTCCACTCCCGTCACAGCCCAGCTCTGTGCCCAGGTACAGGAAGATACCATCAAGGTTGTGGTAGACCGCAAACTGGACCGAAACTGTGACATTGGCAACTTTGAGCTTCTGTGGAGGCAGGTAAGGATAGAAGCCACCCCACCATGGCTGCTTAGTATCTGTCCATGGGGTGGGTGGACCTGGGCTTCTTGTGGCAGCCATCTCATTCCCAGTCAGCGGGGGACACAAATCCTGCTTCTTGGGTCTGGGCTGTGTGCAGGACAGTCATGAGCCTGGGTCTGCCTTGTCTTCCCCAAGCTCAGCCTCCTGTGTACATCAAGACAAAGATTTACTCTAGATGTGGCATCTTAGACAGCCCTGTCACTTAGGCCCTGTGGGCATCACAATCTGATCTTCCTATCTGTCATTTCTCCATGTCCCAACTGTATGGTTAATGGGAGAAGCCCTTGCCTGAATAGCTTGGGAGGTTCCACAGCCCCTTCTAGACTGTTTCTCTTTAGAGCCCCTTGTCCTCTCTGAAATCTCTCTAATGGCCTCCCCTCAGGGGTCATCTAGCAGGCTTATGCATCAACACTGAGCCTTTGGCCTCTGGACTCCTGCTTGCCCTATGGGTTGAGCCCAGGACCTAGAGGGAGGCAAGCTGGGGTCTGCCTGAAAGAAATGCCCAGTGAGCACCCGAGCTTTGAAGAAGTACAGTCAAAGCTTCCGAGGCATGGCAGGTGGCTTGCAGTGGGGCCAACCTGGTAATTCTCTGAACAAGGAGGGATACTGACCTGACTCCTTTTCCCACAGCCTGCCGTGGAGCTGCCACCATTCAATGGGTCTGACCTCTGTGTGGAAGGCATCAGTGTGAAGAAAGCCAAGAAGCAAATGCCTCCCATCACCAACCTCAGTTTCTCAGAATCGCTCTCAGACACTCCGGTCAAAGCGCGGAGCCCCCGGGCCCTACCGGATCCAGCAATCGGGTCCTCCCGAATGACCCTGCGGCAGGACTGGAAACGGGAAGAAGCAAAGGTACTTTCAGCCACCTGGTCTGTACCAGTAATGGCTGCTGAGGGCAGAGGTCTAGCAAAGCCCTCTTACACCTTACCGGTTAGTAACTACCAACATGGAGACAATAAGGCCCCCAAAAGTACTTTTAGCAGAGCCCAGCCCACTAAACACTTGGATCCAAACTTGACAAGTGTACAGCACCCTGCCCTGGTGCTGCAGAATATGAAAACCATGGAGAGGCCCCAGTCTCCACCACCTGAAGCATCATCAGATAACCTTGGGGAGCCAGTGCCTTTGTGTCCCTTCATATTTGAGGGATTCCGGCTCCGTCCCAATCTTCGAAGAAGACCTTCGAGCTGCATTCTTCAGAGTAGGGCTCAGGGCTGGATCAGGGGTATGCCCTGAGAGGATCTTCAGCCAAAGCGCACAAGCAGGGATGGGGGTGGGGGATGAGACACCTTGGCACTGCCCTGTCCAGGCACTAGGGTTTCTGGTATTGTGCTGGTCGAGATGAGCAGCATAGTGGGGTTCTGTTGCAACAGTCCCAGTGGCACTTGCTTCCTCTAAGGTGGAGCCGGCATCTGGGGATAGGTTATTGTGTTCAGGCAACACCAAGTAGCATGGATAGGCAAGGTGGAGGGATTGCTGGGCTCTCGCACATGATTTCTGGAAGATTCTGATAGAATTGACATATTTGTGATACAAGGCGAGGTGACTGGGCTGAGTCTACACACAGGACTTCGCATGCCACCTGTTATCTGGCCTTGGCTCAGAGAGTATCAAGTCAGGCCGCCACCTTTCTCTGTTAAAATATACTCATGCCCCATGGTGTGTCCAACCTAGTTAGTCTATCCCTCTTACTGCCTCCCTACCACCTGGTCCTCTCCTTGTCTGCTTGCTGTCTGTGTCCCTGGATAGGAAGGTTTGGAGCACTGGCTCTCACTGCCACCTTTGTAACTGTACCCTACTGCCAAGGATTGCAAGTGTAATGTGGGGCAAGAGCTTGGCACTTGCTGGACACAGGTGCCTATAGAGGCTCTGGGTGGGGGGAGAATCTGTGTCAGTTCCCATGCCTATGCCTGGCCATCCTGTGTGGGTAACTCTGTAAAAGTGTCTCTAGGAACCATCTGGCTGTACACCTAGAGACCTCTTTCTTTGGCGAGATGTCTACAGAAACAATAGCTCCATCTAACAAGTTGTAAAGTGTCTGTAACAATGAACTGCACACTGGGAGCTAAAAGGGGAAGTTTATCTCTAACAGCCAGGTCAACAAGACCATGCTTCTGAGGACTCTAGAGAGGGTCTCCCCTCCTACAGTTGCTGGTGTCCACCAGTGATCACTGGTGACTGGTAACCATATCACTTTCATGTCAATCTTCTTATAGGTATATGCCTTTCGTGAGTCTGCTTAGAATTTCCTCCGATAAGGATAGCAGCCATTGTGTTAGACTTCCACCCACATTTTAGTATGACCTCATTCAGTGATGACATCAGCAGAGACTATTTCTAAACAAGAAAGGCTTCAGGTGGACATAGATCTGGGGGGATGCTTTACCCCATTTCACCCCATTATAGGTATAGACTATGGTGATTCACACTCTGGCCAGCACCCCACAGAGCTATTGCTCCTATCGCTGTTACTCTTGCCTCTTGTAAAGTATTAGTAGGCTTCTTGCATGTTTTCACTTGATAGTGAAATGGGAATTAGCTACTGTCACATATTTAGCAAGCACTTTGGTTTCTTTCTGGAAAGTTCTGACTTGCATCTTTGGTCATCTATCCAAAGGCTCCTGGGTCCCACTTTCTCTTGTCATAGTTTCTATTAGAGATTTCCCCTTTTATTCTTTTCATTGTTTTTGTTGTTGTTGTTGCAAATATTGTTTCCTACCCTATAAACTTGTCTTTTCACTCCTTTGTGGTGTTTTTATTTTTTTGTGTAAAACCATCTTAACTACAATACAATCAATTTAGCCAACATCTCTAAATTTGGTGAATTTTTCTTTTTTTTTTTTTTTTTGGTTTGTTAATGAAGAACTCAAGATCATAACAATAACCCAAGAGTATCTGCTAGCAAGGCATCTTCTAGAATTTCTAGAATTGTTTCATCATTAGCATGAGGCAAGATCGAATAGATTCCCAACAGAACCTATGAGAAGTGCTCCATGCTGATGTGGTCACATCTACTATGTGGTCTACGCCCACATACACAGGCCTGTCCCTGCATGTGCCACTGATCTACATGTCTCTCTTAGACCAGTGCCACGGTGTCTTCATGCTGTGGTCTTGCTGCTTTATGCAAATCTCTTCATCTTGTCTCCTTGGAAATGGCTGAGCTGTCCTGGACTGGTACTTCCATATACATTGTGGAATCAGTCTATCAATAGCAAACACCAAGAATAAAAATCTATTAGAATCTTTGGAAAGCATTAAGTTGAATTTGTATGTCAGTTTGGGTAGAGCTGGCTCTTTATTACACTTAGCCTTACAATCCATGAATATGTTGTATCTCTTCATTTGTTTATCCTTAAATGTCTTTCTTTAAACACCTATTCTTTAAAAAATATTAAAAATGAGTATTTTATATATTTGTTTTATGTGTATGAGTGTTTTGCCTACATGTATTTATGTACATCATGTGTGTACTTGGTGCTTGTGAAGGCAGAAGAGATTATTGGAACCCCTAGAACTGAAGTACTGGTGGTTATAAGCCACTATGTGGGTGCTGGGAACTGAACCACTACGTGGGTGCTGGGTCCTCTGCAAGGGCAGCAAGTGCTCTTAACTGCTGAGCCCCTAAACTCCTAAATGTTTAAAATGGCATGTACTTATGTAGTGTGTGTGTGTGTGTGTGTGTGTGTGTGTATACACTTGAGCACTAAGGTCAGAGGATAATTTATGGGGTCTGTTCTCTCCTTCCATCATGTGAATCCTGGGGATCAAATTCAGGTTATCAGGCTTAGTGGCACATGCCTTCATACACTAAGACACCTCTGTGGACTCTAAAACTATAAATTTCTTTGCTTTTTTTGGCATATTTCTTCCTCTGTATAGTTTCTTTGTAAATGATATCTTTTGAGAGAATTTTATTGTATTTATAAATTATGCCCATTTTATAGAAATACAATTGACTTAAAATCATCTGAATAAATCTTGTCAATTCTATTTAAAGATTCATTGGGTTTTTGTCATGGGCTTGCTATATCAGAAACAAACACATTTGTCAGAATTTGTTGAATAACAAACAATAAATTCACAGAGTGTGGCTGTTTCATTGACTGCAACATGCCAGACACTTCTGCTTCCCTCAATTACCCTGGTAAATGTGCTAGCCATGGCTGCTTTCCTTGATAACCCTGGTCAATTTGTTCTTTTATTCCAATATTAATTGCTATTATTACCTCTCTGATCACACACAGTAAATATAGCTGTATATGTGTGTTGTGTCAGTATACACATATATTGCAGAATGGTGGGAAAGGTTCAGAGGCACAATGAACTCAAGAGTTTTCTGAAGCCTGAAAGCAGAGATGCAGAGAGTCTCTGTTGATATTCTTTATAAAGAAGCAAATAAAGCTTGTGAAGAAGCTAGAGGCTGAATACAGGGTGAGAATTGAGCTACCGGACTGAGTCCAGCTGTAGAGGTGAAAGGGCAAAACTAGGTCCAAAAGGAAAACAGGAAGATGAGCAGGCAGCAGTTTAAGTAGGTCATGTCAAAAGCGGTGACAACTAGGCGGAAGGCCCTGAAGCCCAAGACTGTCATTTGTCAGTCTGTGCTGAGAGGGGCAGAGTGTGTGTGTGTGTGTGTGTGTGTGTGTGTGTGTGTATGTGTGTGCATGTGTGTGTGAGTGTGTATGTGTGTATATGTGTGTGAATGTTTATGTGTGTGAGTGTGTGTATGTGTGTATATATGTGTGTATGTGTGTGTATATGTGTGTATGTGTGTGTATATGTGTGAGTGTGTGTATGTGTGTGTATGTGTGTATATGTGTGTGTGAGTATGTGTGTATGTGTGTGAGTGTGTGTGTGTGTGTGTGTGTGTGTGTGTGTGTGTGTGTGTAGAACAGATGGTGTGGTTCATTCATGTGTCCACTGGTGCCGAAAGTTGTCCTCCACCCTCAAAATGAAATCAAAAGCCACTTGTGAAATGGAATCTCTCAGAGTAAGACACGGCCTGAAATACTGGTTTTACACAACTTAGAGCAGGGCACAACCTAGTAAGAATTTTTCAAATATTTAATTAGATCATCTGATTATTATATGTCAAATATTTGATTAGATCATAATTTTCTTTTGCCTTAAAATTATTATCATTGTTTCTTTTTAGTTATTTTATTGCACTGTACAGGACTTTATTCATCTATTCATTGTTCTCAGGAGTATATAAGCCAGAAAATCATAATTCTTATTCTTGTGCAGATTCTTGTATTTTGTCTTTTTTTTTTTTTTTTTTAAGTCAGGGCTCAGGTGGAACGTCACACACACTAGGTGTTCTAGTTTGCTTCTCTGTTTCTGTGATAAAACATTGGCCAAAAGCAACTTGAGGAATGAAAGGGTTTATTTGGCTTACAGGTTCCAGGTCCGTTCAAGGGAAGCAAGAACTCAAGGAAGGAGCCTGGAGGCAGGAACTGAAGGAGAGTGCTGCTTCCTGGCTTGTCCTCCTTGACTTGTTCAGCTGTTTTTCTCTTGCAACCCAGACCCACCTGCCCAGAGACAGCACACACATAATGGGCTGGGGCCTTTCTACAGCAATTAGCAACTAGGGAAAGGCACCCCTCCACAGGCCCACAGGCCAATCTCAGTGTCAGTTCCCTCTTTCCAGGTGTGTTGAATTGATAACTGATGTTTATGTGAACCTAAGGCAAGCACTCTAACCCTGAGCACACCTTTAGCTTTTGGGTTATTTTTATAATATAATAAGAAGCTGCAAACAGTGAACTCACCTCCTCCTGCCCTCACATTTCTTCCCCAAAGCCCTCATGCTTCTGAGTGTGTGTGTGTGTGTGTGTGTGTGTGTATACAGCTGATGATTCAGTCAACATTTTTTAAAAATCTTTATTGCATTTTTATTTGGGAGAGGGGCATGTATACCATGACATGAGAATATGGAGATCAGAAAACAACTTGCGGGAACCCTCTCTACTTTGTGGATTCTGAGGACCCAAGTCAGGTTATCAGGATCAGCAGCAAAGTGTGTGTGTGTGTGTGTGTGTGTGTGTGTGTGTGTACTAGAAATGCTAGCTTGTGGAGATAACAAAAAAAAAAAAACAACTTTTCTATAGTGTTTAAAATAATGCACATCCCCAAAGGTGGTGATGCACACCTTTGATCACAGCAGCAGAGGCAACAGGAGTTTTGTGACTTCAAGCCCAGCCTGGTCTATATAGCAAGTTCCAGTACAGCTAGAATTATGTAGTGAGATCTTATCTCAAAAAAGAAAAGAAAAGAAGAGAAACAAAAACAAAGGAATATATAGGAATGTTTATGACCTCACCAAATCACCCACAATCTAGTGTTTACCAGGTAGATGTAAGAAAGTGTACTGTTGGTACCACACATCTCTTGCTTGTTGGCAAACACATTTCTCTGCAGGGGTTTGTACTTATAGTATATACTATGGATGTCTTCTCCCAGATTGTGCTTCTGATTCTCCTGCTTGGATTGATGCCTGT